TTACCTGTTTCAACCAGGACAAAAAGTAATAGAATTTTAGAAATAATACATTCTGACGTGTGCGGGCCAATCAGTCCACAAACAATTGATGGTTGTAAGTATTTAAATTTTACTATACTAAATTTTACTTTACTTTCTAATTTTACTATGCTGTTTTTAATTAAAAATAAATGTGAGGTTTTCAGTAAATTTAAGGAATATTTGAGGTTTGTAGAAGCAAAATTTAATTCAAAGGTTTCTAAATTAAGATGTGATAATGAGGGTGAATATGTTTCAAATGAATATAGAGAGTTTTGTAAAGAAAATGGCATTATATTAGATTATACAGTACCGTACACACCTCAACAAAATGGTAAGGCAGAGAGGATGAAAGAGCTAGATGCATTATGAATGCTTCAATGGTTCCTAAGTCTTTCTGGGGAGAAGCTATAAGGGCATCATGTCCCTTATAGCATAGAATTGAGGAGTAAGTTTGATGATAAGGCAGGGAAATGTATAATGTTGGGCTAAGCACCTACAGGTTATAGGTTGTGGAATACAACTAAAAACAAAATAATTATTGCCAGGATTTAATGAAAATGAATTTTATTTTAAAGGATTAGCAACACTAGATGAAGACGGATAAGACGGAGCAAACATGATGAAGGTATGGATAGGGTAGACAACATTGCAAAATAGGAAATAAATCGCAGAAATGAAATAGATCAAGTTAGTATTGAGCACATATATCAATGAAGAACAGAGCACAAGTCGAGCAGAAGGTAGATTAAATAGAAATATAAAGCCACCAAAATGGTTAGAAGATTATGAGACTTATATGGCTCTATGTGCCATGAATTTGGTTGAAGATGTGCCACAGTCATTTGAAGAAGTAAAAGCGAGGGATGATAAAGATTGCTGGGTTAAGGCAATGGAAAGGGAGATTGATTCGATAAATAAAAATGGTACCTGGGACATAAAAAACCTGTTGGAAAGAATATTTTGGATACGAAATGGGTGTATACTTTTAAATCTTTTAAAGAGAGTAAATGTGATAAATATAAAGCTCGATTAGTAGTTCGAGGATTTGCACAAGAGAAGGGAACAGATGATAAAGAAATTTATTCTCCAATAGCGAAAATGACCACCATTAGAACGATCTTGGCTATTGGAAATCAATTTTCATATTATTTTAGACAACTAGAAGTTAAGTCAGCATTCTTGAATGGAACTTTGGAAGAAGAAGTCTATATATTCGCCAGAGGGAGTTGAATGTAAAAATGAAGTATATGTGTTAAATAAAGCATTGTATGGGTTAAAATAATTATCAAAATGTTAGAACATAGAAATTAACACTTATTTACTTGAAATTGGATTTATAACGTCCGAGAATGATTTTTGTTTATATATTACAAGTAATGATAATTTTGCAACATATCTTTTAATTTATGTAGATGATATAATAGTTTGTGGTCCTTATAATAATTTTATAAACTATATTTTAAAGCAGTTAATGAAAAAGTTTGAATTGAAGGATAAGGTGAATATTTTCTTGGTTTAGAAATAAACTATGATAGAGAAAAAGGTATTTTACATATTAGTCAGACAAGATATATTGTCTTGCTTGACAAAGGTTGGTATGGATTCTTGCAATCCTACTTCTATACCAATAGATAAAAAATTGAATTTGACATGCAGTGATAATAATAATTCAAATAAACCTGTGAGACAATTAATAGGTTGCTTAATGTATCTTATGTTAGGTAGTCGACCTGACATATGTTTCGCACTTAATTATTTCTCTAGATACCAAGACAAGACATCAGATAAAATATGGATTCATTTAAAAAGAGTATTGAGATATTTAAAGGGGTCTGAAAATGTGGGTTTGGAATATTGTAGGAAAAATGAACAGCCAATGGTAAGCTTTGTAGATTTTGATTGGGGAAGTGACCGAATTGATCGAAAATCAGTTACTGGTTATGTAATTTGTTATGTAAGTTATTTGGAAATGTAATATCATGGGTAACAAGAAAACAAAACTGTATAACTTTATCAACAACGGAAGCTGAACTAATAGCTTTATGGGCTTGTGTTACAGAAAATTTATTTATGAGAAAATTATTAATTGATTTAAATATTGAAGTGAAATAACGATTTTTGAAGATAACCAAGAGTGTTTAGCACTTTAGAAAAATCAGGGAAATAACAAGAGAGTGAAGCATATGGATTTAAAGTATCGATTTGTTACTGAGTATGTAGAGAAGAGAATTTTAGATTTAAGGTATATTAGTTCTAAAGAGCAACAAGCTGATGGGCTTACAAAAGGCCTACCCGTAATAAGTTTCTCTACATTTAAAAATTTTCTATGCTTGAAAGGTTTTTAACGAGGGTGGGTATTGTGAATTGCTAAAAACCTCCTTTTTGTCCTTTTCCTAATAAGAAGAAGAGAACTGACAGATTATAGACAGTTTTTTTTTAAATGTTAAGAGATTAAATGATTGAATTTGGTAATTTGTAGCAATCAAATATAATTGGAGGACATAAAGGTTAAATATGAAAGCAGTTTATTTTATTAATTAGCCAGATTGATAATTAAAGAAAACAAAATGAACAACCTTATTACCAATAACGTTTCCTTGAGGCACATAAGAATAAAGGTCGGATATGTAAGATTTCAAGATTATGGAGGCCATAGACGTTAGGGTTTGCATGATGGTTTTAACCTTGCATGAATAACCGACAGGTATAACCGAGTTCCATATAACACATACACGTTATGGTTTGCATGCACAGTTTTGCCATTAACTCTTCAGTTAAGCTACGTGACGGTGTGTGCAGGACGCCTACAGTACTTTGTGCGGTATATACCTACCAAACTACAACGGACGACAATGATGTGATAGCTGTACTTAGCTTAACACTTATTCTTCAGAAAAGAAAAAAAAGAGAGATCGCACTGAATGGTCTAAACGCTGATTATTAAAAAGAAATCATTTTTCCCACATAAATTTGATAAATGAATTGAAATTTAAACTAACAGATTAAAGGAAGGCGTCCGTGAGGCTGACCAATCCATGGAATTCACGCTAAGGGTGTTAGAGGGAGCTATGAGCACCTATGAGTAAGGTCGACGGGTCAGACTTGCTCGCTAAGAGCGGTTCCAGACCCGTCGGCTGGAGGAAGAGGAGATAAGTTTAGTCGGTAGGCGGTTTCGGCACGCGGTGCAGCTTGTCAGACTGAATCCGACACATCAGGGACAATTTCCCTGACGGTCTTTTGAAGATTCTCAACTCCCAAAAAAAAAACAGATTACAAAAATTATTTATGAATGGATGAAAAACTTTATTTGAAACTATTTTAATTGATTACTCCGTTAATACAAAGAGAAGACACTGTTAGGAGGAAAGCAATATCAGCACATGAGAGACTAGCAGTAACATTAAGATTTCTTGCTACAGGAAGAACATAAGAGTATCTCAAATATTCTGCTATTATATTACCTCAGGCTTAAGGCAAAATAATACCTAAAACATGTGATGCTATGAGAACTATAACAGGCAAGCTCGCTGGACGCCACACACGCTAGGGTATGCTCGCAGGCAAGCAAAACCGAGCGGCATAAAATATGAATTTTCATATTTGCTCGGTGGCATGTACATGCACCAATAACTGTACAGTTTTATCCCACACACGCTAGGGCTTGCCTGTCGGTTATGCATGCAAGGTTAAAACCATCCTGCAAAACCCTAACGTGTATGGCCTCCATTAGATAATAGCGGTGAGGAAAATTTTTCTTGAATTTAAGTATTTAGAAATCCGGTGTGCCACACCTTGTCGAAAGTTTAACTGATGTCCAGAAAGGCAGCACTATAGCAGTATCTTGTTCTTCAGATCATTATTTATCAACAAGCGATGTTCTATGGTTTCATGTCTTTTGTGAAAACCAAATTGATGTTGTGGGATTAAGTTTTATTCTGAGAGGATTGGTTTTATGAGATATTTATTATAACTGTTTTATAAAAAGTTTTTCAAATACTTTAAAGATCATTGGTAGAAGACTTATAGGTCTATAAGATGTCAACTTATTGGAATATTTTTTAGGTTTTAGTATCATAAGAACTGAAGAAAGAAAACTGAGGGTAACACAAAGGCGAATGGAGAGATCAATGCTGGGCATGACCTTGAAAGATCGCGTTGAGAAATGAGGAGATACGCCGACGAACTAGCGTAGACGATATTATACTGCGAATCAATAAACAAAAGTGGAGGTGGGCTGGACATGTTGCTAGAATGGAAGACGGAAGATGGACGAAGAGATTATTGGAGTGGAAACCAAGAGCCGACAAGCGAAGTCGAGGCAGACCACCCACCCGATGGACCAACGACCTAAGGAGAATAGAAACAAACTGGATTGCAGCAGCTAAAGATAGAGAGAACTAGAGACGTTTGGAGGAGACCTATATCCAACAATGGATGTGAAAATGGGGCTGGATGATGATAATGATGATGATGATGATAGTATCATAAGAATTTCCTCAACTTTCCATTAGTGAGAAAATTGATTGTGGATTAGAATTGTATTAAATTCATTATTTGTATGGTGTCCCCTTATTGCATTAGAAATGATTATACTTTCGATTGTTTGTCTATATAAAATTGCGAATGAAGTATTTTTTTATTATTTTTTTTTGTAGATTAAGCCATATATTTCTGACCGCTAATGCAGTGTTTTAATAAAGGTGATTGTTTAATAATAAAATAACGTCAATTATTTATTTATTCATTGAATCACACTCGTGATCCCACCAAATGGGTAGTTCTAATAATTTTTAACATTAAAATGTTATTTAGAAAGTGACTAGTAAATGTTCTAGTAGTTTCAACCTGGTGTATTCCTTAATATAAGTGTTAAAATTTTTATTAATATTGCTGGTGCTAAAGATCAAATATTTAGATGTAAAATTGATAAGTAATTCTGATATTTAAGTACCTACTCTTAATAAGAGATAAAATCTTACTTTTCTATACATGATGGAACATACTGCAATACGTATTCTCATACCATCACGTTGGGTTAAGAAGCTGTTTAAGTGATATAAGATAGTATTAATATACATTAATACGATCATACTCACTCCCCATATCCAACCATAATAAATTGGTTCGTCTGTTTTAAAGAAACCAATAAATTTTGATAAGCAAACAGGCTGTGCCAAACTAAAACAAACAAAAAAAAAATATCATATTTGAAATCATATCGCACCCGTCGAGGAATACAGTAACATCTCAAAATTTGTAAATATGAGTTTATTATGCCATTCAACTCGAGTTTGTGAGTAAACTATCTGCGAAAGACTGAGATAATATTGCTTCAACGGTAGACCGGGTACACTCGTGGGGCGTGTGGGAAAGCCCGTCCGCATCTGTAGAATAGAATACTATTACTATATCCAATATCCAACCAGTCACTATAAGACTGCCGGACAATTCGCTCAAGCTCCTTTAGAAGTTACGTTATTTCGAGGACGATTATTGTGTATTTTTAGTTTGTTATTGAAAAACTACAGTGTTTCACGAACGATTATTTTAAATTTTTACGTTGTTATTGAGAAGTAGCGTTGTTTCACGGAAGATTATGGTATATTTTAGGTGGATTATAATAATAATTATTATTTTGAATTTGTTACTAAAATGAGTTCGCGAAGTGCAAAACTTGTGGAGAAGGTTAACTTTAAACCGTCAAATCAAAAACGTATTGTCCCAAAAACAAAACACAATAATAATACAACACTAAAAGAGCAGTACTCCGTTAAAGATGGAGATATTTTGGCACCTTTTCCTTTCGAGACAGACAATGTTTTCACGATTATTAACCAGGATACACTCCAGATCTTATAGTCAACATTTCCTGATGAAAATATTGAACATGTAGAAACATCAAAAAATGATTCCAAAGTCAGCAAAAACCAAATTAACGAGCCATTATCGTCCTCCAGCTCAACTGTATATATATATATATATATATATATATATATATATATATATATTTTACACAAATATATATATATATATATATATTTGTGTAAAAATAAAACACTGAAATCTTTGTTTTCACAGTTCCACAAAATTTATTTTAACTCTTATCACTACAGCTGTTTCGGCTGATTGCCTTTCTCAAGTGATCTATTTTTGGCTTGCGTTTACAATTTATAGTGTCTAATGAAATAGGTTGAAAAGGGGAGAACTGTTTGTCTCAAGTTGGTCATTCAGAATTATATCTGTGTTTTTTAATTTGTTGATTTCCATAGATTCTAACAAAGATAGCTTAAGGCATTTATTTTGAATATGTCATGTCATCGCACGAGTCGATGTCATAACGCACGAGTCACCACCACCTATCTGACTGAGATCGGTATACCTACAATAAATTGGCCTGCGTTAAGCCCGGATATAAATCCAATAGATCATGTTTGGGATGAGCTTAAACGAAGGGTCCGGAGCAGAAATCATGCACCAAGGAGCATAATGGAATTGAGAGCTGCGGTTAATGATGAATGGGAAGCAATGCCTCAAGAACTTATTAGAAAAGTCATCCGATCCATGTGAAATCGATTGGAAAGTGTAATTAGGAATAGGGGTGGTAATACCAGATACTGAAAAACAAAAAAAAATTCATTTTGTAATTGATGATTTCTCTGTTCATTACGTCTTTCTTGGGATACCTAGTTCCAATGATGAATATTTGAGAAACTCTGTTCGTATTGTATATTGTTTTTATACTGCGTCTTCCAAATAATGAAATAGCAGTTTTTCAATTCAAGTTCAAGTTCAATAATGAAGTTACTGTTTGCACATTACATCTTGTTATTTTCATACTTCTTACATTAAAACAGAAGGTGTAATCTCAAATATATCTTTTGAGTCGACTGTTTTGCACTCAAGTGTATATATATATATATATATATATATATATATATATATATATATATATACAATTTTACATAACCTTTTTGGATGATATAATATATATTACAACATCCAAAAAGGTTATGTAAAATGCTCTAAATTATGTGTTAATAGAGATGTCGTATTAGACGTTTGGTGTCAAAAATTCATTGGTTTGTCGGTGCATCCTATTAAATATAGATAATAGACAAATTGTAGATTAATAGCAAATAAGAAATAAAAATAATAAACAATATTTATTAATGTTGTAATTTAATAATATCACTTCAAAATTATTCCTAAAATTCCAACATTTCGTTTAAAATAATAAATCTCGCAGTGATTTTAGTCTAGTAAAAAGTAATAATTAATAAAAAAAAATATTAAATTAGAAGGTGAAGCATCTCTTACCTTCCCCTTCTGGTCTAAATTCTCAGAAATATACGACAGTAAAACATTGAAAACTTCTAATTAATTTGTTGTGTGAATGACACTATATAGTATAGTATCTGAAATATTTTAAACGGGAGAAACTCGAAACAAATAAAAAATTTTACACCATACATTGTACAGGAAAAGGTGCCACTTGTAGAAACTGAAGTAAATTAAAATTATGCCCAGAAAAAATATTACAAAATTATATTTACTTATTTAGACAATATAATCTATGTTAGTGCAAACACTTCTGACCACGGCAGTAGACGAAATTTGGTTTAGTCCCCACTTCCATGCGAAACTCACTGTACTATGCCACAGAATAATAAACAATCAGAATGCCCACTCCCAGATGCCGCCTTTGAAGTTTTTCAGCACGCGCGCCATGTTTTAGAAGGAAAACATAACACATAACACAAGCATATGATTTGTGAGGTTATGTAATTGTTTATATTTATGTTTAATTATATTATATTTATGTTGTTATATTTTAACAATGTTAAAATAATTGCATAGTATGTCTACGATTGCCATAAGTCAATTAAACCCTTGTTAATTTTTCTATGCAAGTTTTCATTAAACACAACTGGTTCCCTTTAAAACATGGAGGAACGTCTGCGCGAAGGAGATGCGCGTACTTAATTTTCCATGAAGAGTGGGTATTCTGATTGTTTATTATTCTGTGACTGAGCAACGTGAAAGTTTCAGTTGGGTTAGAATAATTCCTCTACAATAGAACCTTTCCGCCTATACGTGAATTTTGACACTTTCTTCGCGCAGCTCCATGGTCATTAGTGTTTGCACTATCTCTAGCTTACGACAGGGGACGACTAGGGACGTCCCGCGGTAACGGAACACGGTATGGGACTGATGGAAAAATGATGACTAACACATTGGCATTATTAAAAATAGAGCACGGGATATGCTTCCACTAATTAAGAAAAAGTTTTGAAAAACCGTACAGTAAATTTTATATATAAAGAAAACGAACTAATTTTTAAGACATACCCTATTTATTTACTGTTAGAATATAGCATATAAATATAATGTAATTATTACTTTAAATCTCACCGTGTAACCATGTAGTTGGAAAATGTGATACTACCAGTAACAGAAATAGGTTTCCAAAATGTCCGCCAGATAGCTTTTTTTAAGCTTGGTTTTTTCTTATTGTTACTAGCTTTTTTAAGTTCATGCTTCCAATTTCTAAAACAAAAATTTGTTTTATTTCGTAGAATATTTTTATAGAGACTAAAATGAAGAACTGAGCATTTGAAATAAAATTAAATGGTCGATAACAGTTTTAGTTAGTATTATTTAATGTTTTTTAAGTAGATGACCGATGGGGAAATTAGAAGAAAGAAGTATGGTAGTTTCTTAAAAATTTTATATTATAGTTCATGTAAGCGTACGAAATAAATAAATTCTCTAGTCATGTTCGATCGATGGCTCAATGAACTTTGGACTGCTAGAGTTAACATTCGAGTCGTGCGATGGAATATCATAGTGAGCAATAGTCTCACGAATTGATGAACGCTGATTCATTGATCCCTACAAGAATAAGGGTGCGTTCATTACGGAAACCATCGCATGGTATCCTAGCCTACAACATAGCACTGATAACCCAGAAAAATAAGCATTTTTTCATGACACGCGTCTGGCCAGGCAAACGACAATTGTTTTGAGTAGTATGGACCTCTGTAACAAAAACCTATATGTTTCCTGTAGTTGATTTTTTGAACTTAATTAGTTGTTAACAAAATAAGGTCTATCAGCAAAAAGTGAAGCATTTTAAACAAATTTTAGAAGAGAAGAAACTTATAAGTTATATAAAAACTTTCAAAATATCGGTTTCTAAATGTTTCTATACTTATTTGTTGCTAAGAAAGTTGCAAAATAAGTAAAAAATTTTGGTTTTTTATAAATGTTAATAACTTTTTTGAAAATAAACTTATAATATTTATATTGCATGGAATACTGTGTCTTATAGTACTTAAAATACGGTCAAAATTTCAAAGTGATCGGTCAAATATTTTAAAAGTTATTTTATTTGTTTATCCCAAATTAATTTTGTTTACAACAATATGTCAGAAAATTATATAGTTTTCGTAATTGTAAGTGTAGTTTCTGGAAGAAGAAGACTTGTTCTAATATTTACATTAAAAAAATAATTTTAAATATTGCAAAATAGTTTAATTACTATTAAACTGGGAATAAGCCACAATTAAAGATAAAAATACGTTTATTGACGTTTCAATTTCCCTTCGGAAATCGTTCTCAAAATACAAACAGTAAATTAAACAAATTTTGTTTTTTGTTACATAGTGAAAAATTCTTCTAATAATTTAATTTTATCTGACTCATTTATATTGACAATTCAGACATACATTATGCATTTTAAAGTAGACGACTTTAAAATGATATTGCCAATATTGTTGAGTTGCGCTCCTGGGACGACTTTACTTATAAGATAGTTCATTCGATTACATGAAATCAACTTTAACTTGAGAATATCCGTCAAAAAAAAAGTCATAGCATGTAATTCGTCTTTAAAAAGACAAACACATGACATGATGATAGTAAAATTCTCCTGTTAGTGATAAAATAGTTTTACAAAAACATGTCATTTTTTTGCTTATAAACAATTAGAATAACTTTTTAATTATTGCTTTTTAGAATATTTTTTTATATTTAAAAAGCCTGAATTTTTCACAAATTAAAGGAAAAGAATTAAAAAAAAATAAAAGAAAAAGAAAAAACAATTTGAGACAAAGTTAGCCTATTTTTTTAATTTAATTTATAGCGGCTTTGTTTATATCTTCTTAAATGTAAAAATTTCATTTTGTGAATAAAATGATCTTTGAATGTATATTTAAATACTTGCAATTATTGTAATAAAAAATTAGATGTATTAGATTATTTTTACTGCCAATATTGTAAAAAATAGATTGATAAATTTACATAGATAGGATTAAAAATATATAAGTAAAATTTTTGGGAAAAGAAATTATTCATTATTTCTATCATATCAAATTATTAATACATTATTTACAATTTTATTAAAGAAGTATAAATTATTCAGAAATATTTCTATTTTACATTTAAAATTACCTTAAATATTATTTAAAAAAAAATTTAAACAAATTAGGTGGTTTAATTGACAATTTATTTATTGAACTAATGCATATTCGTAATGTACGCAAAAAGTACATACAAGTTTAAAAAGAAACGTTGATATACATAAAAAAGGACCAGTTAAGGTTGATCTGCACCCCCCAAAAAATAAATTCCAAATTCAAAAAATTTGAAAAAATTTGAGAAGGTGTATGACATGACTAGAAGTATTTTGACAACTTTTAAGCAAACTTCATGTTTTAGTTTTTAAAAAAACTCAAAAAACCTACTCCTTCCCCCTCCCTTCAGCTCCCGCGAGTTTCAAAGTCGGCTGATTTTAAAGAACACATTTTGAAGCTTTGTGGACGATTCCAGTAAAAGGCAATATTTTAAGAAGCTAGTACATTAAAGGAATAAAGCATATTCTTTCAAATAGCGCTAATTAGGTGTCGTAATTGTTATAAAAAAAGCTGCTATGAATTATATAAAAAAAGAGGCCAACTTTGTCCCAAATTATTTTAAGACATTTTTTTTACTTTTGAATTTGTAAAAGAAACTCATGCTATTTTAATATAAAAAAATAATATTCTTAAAGGAAATGGTTAAAAAGTATTTTTCTTCCAGAAACTACCCTTATAATTACTAAAAGTATATAGTTTCTGACTTCTATTGTTGCAAAAAACATTAATTTGGGATAAACAAATAAAATAACTTTTAAACTATTTTACCGATCAGTTTGCAATTTTGACCACATTTTAAGCACTATAAGACATAGGATTCCATAAAATATAAATGTTATAAGTTTATTTTCAAAAAAGTTATTAACATTATAAAAAAACCGAAATTTTTACTTATTTTGTAACTTCCTAAGCAACAAATAAGAATATAAACATTTAGAAAACGCCATTTTGAAAGTTTTTATATGACTGAAGTTTCTTTCCTTCCAAAATGTGTTTAAAATGCTTCACTTTTTGCTGATAGATAAAAAAAGCAAAAATTTTCCGTTTTTTTACCTTAATTTGTTAATAACTAATTAAGTTCAAAAAATCGACTGCAGGAAACATATAGGTTTTTGTTACAGAGGATCATATACTACTCAAAAGAATTATCGTTTGCCTGGCCGGACGAGTGTCAAAAACAGGGTACTTTTTTTGCTTATTTCCCTGGCCTACGACAGTGAAGAGCGCTCGAATTTAAAATAAAACGCATTTATTTGGTCGCAGCGAGGCTCGGTGCTCGGCATCTCGTAGTGTCGATCGTAGAATACTAGGGACGAGAATCGAAAAAATACTAAGCTGGAATACTATGGTGCAAATCCATGATCCGATACTTGGCTCTAGTCTGGGCACTACGCTTTGACAGTGAACGCTGAAATTTTTGTAGAAATAATGCATTTATTTTACGTAGTGATGATAATATGATACCATCCTATGGTCCGACCGAGGGTCGGCGCCTCGTTATGAACGCACACTAAGACACTAAAAACACGCATATACTTTAGTAGATCTGGCTTTCACGGTTTATTGGACAAAAACAAAATATATGTATATATATATACCTTTCCAAGGCGTCTCCAAGTCTCTCTGATAAGTCGGAGGTTGTTGTATTATATACATGTCTCATATCGATATCATTGTAATATCCAAATTTAAAAAATGGTATAAACCACCTACAATAATAAAAAAAATAATCTTTATTAACTAATTTAGATTAATAAACAAATTTTCATTTATTTAAAAATATGTAGTTATTCATCTGCAATAAATTGGCAAATGCTTTAGCAACCGATTACAAATAAATATCTGAGTAGTTACCAACAACACAACTGTAAGTTTGTTCACGAATTTTGGAAAAATTTTAAAAATGAGAAACGGCTCTTAAAGCCTCCCACTGTTATTTAATCTAAGAATAGAGAGAATTGTAAATATAGCTAAACCGACATTAAATATAAAAATGGACATTCTTATTCATGTCTTCATCTGCTTCATTCTGCTGGGATCAGTGATATTCGGTCATGACTGGGAACCAAAATCATTACAGCTTACGCTAGAGATAAATCTGTAATATGGTCGCAGCAAAATGGCATCATTAAAAGGGAATGCTATGGCCCCTACCGTGATCTTTCAAAGCCGATAAAATTTCGATTAAGCTTTGCCTTTACGGCAAAATGTTATATGGATGATATTGTTAATACCTGTTCAATATTATTGGGTGCTAACCTACGTGCGTTTGTGCGTTTAAACAGTAAAATCAATAAAGATATTTTCTATTTTCTATTATATTCTTGTGATAATATCTCATTATTATAAAAAACAGCTTTTATTCCTGGAGGCACATGGTTTTTATTTTCTCGACTATTTTTTCCACTTATCTCTGTATTTCGTCGTTTACTCCAAGACTTATATTCTTAGTTTTCTTACATCGGTTTTACCTCTTCTAAACACTTCTTTTTTGGTCTTCCTCCTCTGCGCTTTTCACCTGCTCCCCTCGGTAATACCTTTTTTGCACGTCTGTTTGTGGACATCCTGCAAACACGTCCCATTCAACATGCTCTTTTTACTTTTATATTGTGCTCGGTTGGTTGTTTGATCTCGCAACAATGCTATATCGTCTGCAAAAGCGATAACTTGTTGTCTCTTGTAGTATTACTATATATTTGTACACCACCCTGTCGTAGGATAGCTTCTAGGATAAGGTTTAATAAAGTTATAGACAGTGGATCTCATTGTCTTAATCTCTTCCTTACCTTAAAAGACTCTGATAACCTTCCTTCAGGATTACTTTATTTAATGTTTCTTTTAAGGTCATTTCCACTAACTGAACAAGTTTGGTAGGTATTTTTAACAGTTCCATCGCTTCGTATAGTTTTTCTCTATCGATTGAATCTTAGGCCTCCTTAAAGTCTCTAAACAAAATGTGCCATTGTAGATCGGCCTCTTCTAAACCCTCCCTGATATTAACCTATTATTTCAGATTCAGCTTTGTTAGTCGATTTCTTGTCATTAAATATTTCTACAGTTATACTGTTTTTTCCTGGACTCTTGTTATTCTTTAGCTGCTTTATTGTTTCCTTTATCTCCTGACCTGATTGCACCGATCCAGCTTGTGATTGTATTTCAATGGTATTTTCCTCTGGGTTTAGCAGTTTCTCAAAGTATTCTGCCCACCTCTCTAGTTTTCTTGGTAAGTCATCTATTACCGTGCTTTCTTTACTTCTGCAGAGGCAAGCGATTCCGGAACTCGTAACTTTATTGACTTTGACTTGGTAAATTCTTAATCTCTTTGATGGAATTTTCTCTGATTTCCACCAATTGTTGGGGGGAAAGCTTATTAAATTCCTTTCCCCGTGCGTGTACAGTACCAAATATTTTAGGACCATGGACTGTACAAGAGTGTTTCCTTCGATATATACAAGTAGACTTCAAGGCGCTGGTTCTTTATGTGTTTGGTTTAATAGGGGTTGTACTTAGAGAAAAAATAAGCGTAATTAATTGAATCTACACATTTAATAACGAGAGAATATTTACACAAACACTAATACTAACGAAAGAGTTCGCTTTTTACACATTGTCCATTATTATATCGGTTTTACCACTTTAAACAACCCTTATAAGCTATTTATGGCACAAATATTCTGCAGACAAAAGTACAGTCTGTAGCATAAATTCCAAACCAATATTTGTGAGAACTAAAAATTGTACTAAAATTAATATAAAATGTTGTTTTTACAACATACTCGCCCCCGTTGAAGCGCTGGCTTTAACACAAATAAACAGATAATATTACGACAAGAAAGCATGGGGAAGAGAAAATACACTACAATTCTAATCTTATACTAACTTAATTTAAATCGTCATTGGGTAAAGGACACAATTTGGTAATAGAGCGCTTGAAGACTCCATCTTTAGTTTTGACCGAGGCAATTCTTACTCTCCCATCCTTTCCTGGAAAGACCTCAATCACTCTTGCTAGTACCCAATAAAGAGGAGGAGTGTTGTCTTCAATCAACAAGACGAGATTGTTGGGTTCTAGGTTCTTATGCGGAAGAAACCATTTGGGGCGATTTTGAAGTCTGTTCAAATAGTCGATAGACCATTTTTTCCAAAACACTTGTTGGAGTTTGGACAAATGCTGCCATAAATTTAGTCTGTTTTCGGGAATGTGGATCACTTCTTTTTTAGGGAATGAGGTGAGAGATTGTCCAATCAAGAAGTGTCCAGGAGTGAGATAAGTAAAGTCAGAGGGGTCACTTGAAAGGGAGCAAAGAGGCCGGGAATTGAGCACAGCTTCAATTTGAACGAGGACTGTGGTGAATTCTTCGAAAGTAAGCTTAAGATTACCCAGGAGTCTACGCATATGATGCTTTGCGCTTTTAATAGTACTTTCCCAAATACCACCATGATGAGGGGCTCGAGGAACTATAGTTTTCCAGCGAATATGGGACGAGGCCAAAAATTCTTGAATAGAACGGGAGCTTTCCTTTTTCTTTAAAAACTTATAGAGTTCAAACAGCTGGTTACGAGCACCAAGAAAGTTCGTAGCGTTGTCACTGAATATTGTCTGAGGGAGGCCTCTACGACTAATAAAGCGTTTTAGAGCGAGAATAAACGTCTCTGTAGAGAGGCCAGAGATGACTTCAATATGAAGAGCTCGAGTCGACAAGCAAACGAAAAGAGCAATATACGATTTTATTAAAGGAGCCTTGCGAAGTTTGGAAGCCTTTATCTGAAAGGAACCGCCAAAATCTAATCCAACATGAGTGAATGCTCGAGAGGAATTTAAACGTTCCTTTGGCAAATCTGCCATAATCTGGGTAGCGGGTTTGGCACGAAACTTAAAACAAACCATACATTGGTGAATGACCTTTTTGACTTCTCGTAGTCCATTTAAAGGCCAATATTTGAGACAAATTTGGGACAGAGTATTCTGAGGCCCTGAGTGACAAAGTCTGACATGTTCTCTGTGAAGAATGAGACGAACTATACGATTTTTGAGGGAAGCAGAAGGGGGTATCTTTGATCAAAGGTAACGTCTGAGTTTCCAAGGCGACCTCCTACCCGGAGCATTTCATTCTCATCCAAAAAGGGGTTTAGGGGTAACAGACACTAATTAGTTCGAGTTTTACCTTTCTTAAGCTCAGAAATCTCACTCGAGAAGTTGGAATACTGGAGCATTTTAATAATCTTAAGTTCAGCGTTGTGAAGTTCGGTGACTTCAAGGGTATCCGTTAACTTGCGAGAAAGCGGTTTAGCATTATTAACAAATCTAAATATATAGGCTAAAGTTCTTACAAACTTTGAAAAATTAGAGAACCTATCAGAAAGGGAGGTGAAAAAATCTATTGTATCATTTCGAGCATGCAGAATGACTTTCCTTTCTTCAGGCAACTTGGAGGTATAACCCTTTGGGTTGTATTTTAATAAATCCAAACGCAGTTGATTTAAAAATGGAGGACCATGAAACCACAAGGAAGAGTTTAATATCTCAGAGGGTAACATTCCTCGGGAGAGTATGTCGGCAGGATTCTCTTTGGATCGTACGTGCCTCCAGTGAGCATCATGGGAATTATCTAAAATTTTTGCGACCCTATTTGCTACAAATTGGGTCCAACGAGAAGGATGTGAACGAAGCCAAGCGAGAACAATTTCTGAATCCGACCATATATTTATAGAGTCTAATCGAGATAATTTTTTTAACGATGTTAGCAATCCTTGCTGTGAGTTTACTACACAATAGCGCACCCATGAGTTCCAATCTTGGAAGGGTCAAGGGTTTTAGCGGAGCAACGCGACTCTTAGATGCTAGAAGGGAACAAGACACCTGTTCTGATTTATAGGTCACACGTAAGTAGATACAAGCTCCATGAGCCTTTAAACTTGCATCTGAGAATGAGTGAACCTCAACACCAGTGATTTCTTGACTCAAAAAGAGACATCTTTTTGAGTCAAGAACCTTAAGTCCTTAAAATGAGAGAGACTGCTAATAAAACTTAGCCATTCATGTAACGTATCTGCGTCAATGGTATCGTTCCAACTGATTTTGGATATCCAGATTTTTGCATTATAAGTTTAGCGACAACTGTAACGGGATTAATAAGACCTTGAGGATCAAATATTTGGGCAATCATTGACAGTACTTCTCTTTTAGTATATGAGTTCTTTAGGGTGAAATCTGGAAGAGAGATTGAAAACGTGTCAAGAACAGGATTCCAGCATAAACCTAAAACCTTATTAGAGCAATTATCTGGAGCTATGACATAAGAAGAGTTCGAAGAGAGAGAAGAAATATTTTTTAGAAACAAGTCCGAGTTAGAGCACCATTTATGTAGAGAAATACATGCTGTTTCAAGCAAACTAGTTATTTCCTTATGAGCTTTGAGAAGAGTTTGCTCATCATTAGCACCATAGAGAATGTCATCGATATAGCAACTATTTTTAAGAGCGTCACTGGCCAGGGGATACTCAGTTTGATGAGTATTTGCCAGTTCCATTAAACAGCGAGTACTCTAAAAACTGGCGCTTTTAGTTCCATATGTAACTGTTTGCAGTTCCAGGCACTCAATATCCTTTTCCGGGGAGTCACGCCAAAGTATGTTTAATAGAAAGGTTTGATCAGGATTAATTTTAACCTGTCTGTACATCTTTTGTATATCCGTTGTGAAAACAAAGA